AGCGCTCAGCCTCGCTCAGACAGCGTCTAACACGCACAGCGACCCGCCTGAGACAGAGCGGACAGCTTGTAAGGCTGACACACGTAGCTAGCAGTCAACGCGCTCTGTAAGAGCAGCTTGTGTCTACTTCGTTCCTGAAAACAGCAGTGTTGGTAATACAGACGTTCCCTGTTTACCACCTGCTCAGTTTGCCTTTTACGATGGTGCAAACGTGACAGTTCAGTAGAAGCCGTACTTGGAGTATACGCAGTTACCGTTTGTCACTGAGTACAGTGCTGAATAAATTATGATGTTCAGCCCTTCATTACAAACAGGCTGTGGGAGGTGGTTTTGCCCAGCTGGAGGCCAGTAACAGTGTTCTGAGGTGTGTAAGGCAGACTGACTAAGCTCTAAGACCAGGTAGGTGAGATGTATTAACTGCACGCTTGACTTCCAACATTTACAGCGTACAGTGGGCTGATCCAGGGCTCACCCCACCGGGATCCGAGGAGCATCTGTGTGGGCGAACCAGTAGAATGACTGAAATGGGAATCGAACGGGTGACTGGGTGACTGCAAAGGGAGCAGTCTGATTAAGCAAAGAAACCTAGCAAGGAGAGAGGGGTGAGAGAAACAGGAAATCTAGAAACAGCGTAGAAAGGACAGCAGTGAAGACCCATCCACAGAGAGCTAGGGGAAATGGGCACTGTGTGTGAGGCAGCTGGGCCGCGCTGTTACGCTGCAATGCTGGAGGCCCGGCACTACCCGCTCCAGGAGGGACTTTAAGAAACATACTTACTTGGTTTTCACGGGAGTGACAGACTGACAAATAGTGAGCGAGAATACTGGACCATTGACTTAAGTCAGGGATGCAGAATTTGGTGGCTTTGGTTGTTTCCATACATTTTTTCCCAGAAAAGTTCTGAATCGATTTTCAATGTCTGATTAAACACTTTGTTGCGTAGCTTCTGGAGATACTTATTGGTTTGGATTGGCCTCTGTTTCTTTGTCCTTAGTACATTGCTTTCCTCATGGCTGTGAGCTTAATAAGAATCTCTGGTGTTGGGACCAGCAGTTGGCATAATGGCTATGTCTCTGAACTCCCATGTAGTAGACCACTGGTTCAAGTCCCAGGCCTGGTGGCTTAAACTCACGCCGGGTACGTGTGCGCGCATGCCCAAGATCCCAAGAGGAAAATAGAGGAGAAGGATTATGGCATGGCCATCCCCTCTGAGGGGTGATTTCTCACTTTCTATCTGTCTTTCTGGCGAGTGTACACACCCTATAGAAACAAAAAAATCTCAAAGAATCTTTGGTGTTAATATTACTTATAAATCTTTGCTGAAATGTTTTAATAGTTTTTTGCAGTACACTGTGTATGCTCATGGGAGAGACAGAGAGGAGAAATCATCCCCCGAGGGGACGGCCACACTGCAGTCCCTTCTCCGTTCTCCTCTGAGGATTTTGGGCACACATGCACCTGCTGTATTTTCCAAGCTGCCATGCCTGGGCCCTAAACTACGTATTTGGCCATGTGGGACCCAGCTGTCTCAACCATCATGCCACCTGGCAGGCCTGCTCAAGTATTTTACACTCCTGCTCTTGCTCCTATTTTCTTTGTGATCTACAATCCCACTGATGTTCCATTTCAATCCTAACTCATGGCGTAGAAAAGTTTTCTCATCACATGGAACAAGAACAAACTTTGTTTTAACATAAGAGTTAAGCAGCTTTTGCTGTAGCAGTTCAAGCTCTGGACAACACATGGCTGACCATGATTTGAGCTCTCGACATGGCAGCCTGAGATTCACGCTGGGTATGTGCACACACACGCCCAAGATCCCAGGAGAATGGAGAAGGAACTGCGGCGTGGTTACACCTCCCCGAGGGTGATTTCTCACTTTCCCCATCACTGTCTTTCTGGAGAGTGCACATGCCCTATGGCAAAAACCTTAAAAAAGTAAATAAATAAAAATGTTAGGTAACTTCTACCAAAAACTGAATTTCCCTAAAGGCATCGTGACATAGTAATCCATGTTTAATGTGTGTTCACATGCAATGTGCAAAGCTCACATATAAAGGAATGAAGTTCTCTTTAATATTAAAATTCATATGAACACACTGATCACTAAACTATTACTCATATTTTCAAATTCCTACACACACACACACACACACACACACGTTAAAACTCTTAAGACTTTCAAAGATGAAATTCAGTTTGTAATACGTGTAATTACATAGTTGATGCCTTACATTTTATCGTGGGGCATGTGAGCAATTCCTGTTGCATCTGTGGACGTAACAGACGTGTGGCCCAGTGGAGGGTGATTAACTCTCACCCCGAACAGCCCAGCAGAACGGGGTGCGTGGACGGCAGAACGCAGAGCTGCACCGAGGCTTTACGCCTGTGTGGGTTCTGCTTTCTCATTATGTGATGCTACTTTTTCACCTTATTTTCTAAATAGTATTTAATGTTTCGATGGGAGAGAACAGAGAAAGAGGGGCAATGCCTCTGACAGGGAATCATGCCGCAATCCATCCCCACCCCCAGACAACTAGGATTCAGCACATGTGTGCCCAGCACTTGGAGGGACAGGGCATTCCCTGTGGGTCCACCACACCAGAGCTGTAGGTCCCTCCCACACCACTGTCCGGCCCCAGCTTTCCCACTGTACTTCCTGCGGAGACGGACAAGGCTGTGCACGCTAAAATAGATCCTCCGCTCAGCACGGCGGTTTCTAAACCTGCGTGCATATGCGAATGTCCAGGGGAGCCTAACAGAAATACGACCTCTCCTGGGATGCTGCCCTCAGGGACAAGCATGCGGCAGCCCCCACAGCGCTGTGCTACTGTGGGGGCTGGAGAGTGTCCAGCAGGGATAGTCAAGGCCATGGAGCCAGGGATCAGATTAAATTAACTCCCACAGCACAGTCCAAAACATACTTTTAAAAATTCCTACTGCTGGGACCAGCAGTTAGCGTAACGGCTATGTCACTGGACTCCCATGTAGTCAACTGTGGTTCGAGTCCTGGACCCGGTGGCTTAAACTCATGCCAGGCATGCGTGTGTGCATGCCCAAGATTCCAAGAGGAGAACAGCGGAGAAGGGACTGTGTTGTGGCCATCCTCCCTGGGGGGTGATTTCTCGCTTCCTGTCTCTCTGTCTCTCTCTGTCTTTCTGGCAAGTGCAGGTTCCCAATAGCAAAAACCTCTTCAAAAAAAAAAAAATTCCTCCTGCCCAGATGTTATGACTTCCCCGTGGGATTCAAGAGTACACGATCCACTCGTTTTCATACTGAGGGATCCTCACTGTCTAACGGTCACCAACCGCCACCCGCACTTCACACACACGGAAAAGGAACCCTGGTCCCCTGCCCCACCTCATACCTGCCCTCCCCAAGCACTCGGCTCCAGTGACAGCACCTGCACCCCGCCAGGGCCGGGATCCCAACGGCAGAGCCACCCTCAACTCCCCTGTCTCTCCACCTCATCCGACTCGTGGGTGCTAAGTCCACCACTTGTCACCCCTCCAATTCTGGCCCCCATCACCTCGTCCTGGCTTTATTCCTACAGCGACTTCGACTTCCTCGACTTCTTCGCTGGCCTGCTGGCTTCCAGAAGGGGCCCAGCATGATGGCTCGGCGTGAACCATGTCACTGGTGCGGTCCCGCCTCAGCCACTTCCTAGGAACAGGACTTGAGAGAAAAGGCTCGCCCGCGGCCCCCACCCTACTCACCCACCCACCCACCCTACTTGGTGACCTGCGGGTCCAGGCGTATTCCCTCTGCTTAAAGGCTCCTCCCAGGATTCTCAGGGTTGGCTTCTTTCATGACGGTGGCTCCAGTGTAACTTTCCTGCTCCCAATATTCCAAATCGCGACCCACCCCTTAACAGTCGGGCTCCCCTTTCCCTGCTTTATTTTACCCCACAGCACCTGCCGACTACCGCCCACCTGGCACACAGGTGAGGGCCCGGTGTGTTCACGTCCAGCTCCCGCAAGGGCAACGGCTCCCCACAACCGCTACCGGGGTGCAGGGCTGACAGAAGGCGCAGGCCAACAGGCGCTGGGTGTCGGCAGAAGCTTCCTGGGGACCTTCAGTGCAGAGCCTTTACCTGGGCAGGTCCTCTACCCATATCAGGTAAGGAGACCCTTCCCACCCACCCGACAGGGCTCAAGGCCACCCCTGCCTGCGCCAGCCGACCGGGAGGGCTGCCAGATCATGTGCCCTTTCCTTCTCATTTTACTACCTCGCAGGCACTAGGCAGTGAAGTTCATCAATACCACTTCCTTGTAGCAGTTCACCACTTCTTCTGTGGGTGAACGTGATGGAGAGACAGAAAGAAAAAGACAGAGAGACCCAGCAGCGTCTGCACACCACCATGCAGCCAGCCTTGGCCAGCCATGGGGCACTACAGTTTTCAGACTGGAGAAAACAAAGGGGAACCTGAAAAAGTTTGTGGGAAATAGCATTAAAGTATAATTTTGGTGCCAAAAATGTGAAATCCATGCACTGCTTTTTCCTAGTGTTTTCCACGAAGTTTTTTTTTTTTTCTTTTTTGGAGAGGTTTTTGCTATAGGGTGCGTGCTCTCACCAGACAGACAGAGAGTGACAGAGAGACAGAAAGCGAGAAATCAGCCCCCAGGGAGGATGGCCACACCACAATCCCTTCTCCTCCATTCTCCTCTGGGGATCTTGGGCATGCATGCACACGCACCCAGCGTGAGTTTTAAGCCACAGGGTCTGGGATTCGAACCATGGTTGACTACATGGGAGTCCAGCGACATAGCCATTACACTAACTGCTGGTCCCTTCCATGAAGTTTTTAAAGACCTCTTGTGTTCAACGTAATTCCCGTGCCTAGCCGTGGCCCCGAGGTTCGGCTTGTTTAACGCACGGTCCCCGCGCACACCGATATGAAGTCGGCAGCCAGGTAAGCTCTCTACTCTGCCCACTTTGGTGTTGTACACAGCACATTTCTAATATTGGGACAATTACCTAAAAGCTTATTAACAACATACCTGTCATGTTGCAGTACACCAGCGACGGGCCCAGTGGGCCGCTGCCATCCGAATCGATGTAGTAGAGCCCCGAAGAGTTCCCTCTGTGCTTGTACGCCTCACACGATGGCTCGTAGACAGCTGCAAGGAAGGGAGGTGGCGCGAGGCTGCAGCAGGAGGGGCCCGCCACCCTGTTAACTGTGTGACACGTCCTCAGTGACACATGTCCTGCGTCTCAGTCACATCTAAGTGAGGGTTCTCCTGTTTCAATCAGGCAGTACAACTCTGGAGCTCTTGATAGGTTTTAAGAGACACCACTGAAACCTTGGGTCTGCATCCCGCATGCTCTACACAGAGTCAAAGTCAGGGAGACCGGGCTGACCCTGGCCTAGCAGTGGTCCTTCCTGCGGATGTCTAAGTGTCTGATGTACCTGCCTTTGCCTCCCTAAAAGATGTTACTATCCGATAGTCACTGATTTTTAAGAATATACTTAACTATGCTATCTTCTCTACTTAAAATGGGTCTCAGGTAAAGTATATTTCTATGCTGTGAATTTTAAAATCAGCAATTACTCTCCTTTCCATTTTTTCAAGTTTGTTTTAAAAAGCAACTTTTCAGGCTGGCTGGTGGCACAGGAGGAATACAATGTGCTGCAATGTCGAAGTGACATGGTACGGTCCCGGGTATGTGTTCCCAGGCCTCCCTGCACACAGACGCTGCGTGCGTGCCTGTGATCCAGGCTGACTGAGGCGGGGTTGGGATCGGGCGCAAAGGCCCTGCTGGGGAGATCCAGCCCTATCTCCTGGTCTATCATTCTCGCGGAAAATATAAACTTAAAAAATATTTTCTCTTTAATGTTTTGCAAATGATTGTTCAGAAATCCAGGAATTCACATAAATAAATACATATCATGTCTCTGTAATTTAGATTTTTCCCGATTCATACTTGACTTTTTTATTTGTATGATTAACGTTTTGTTACATGCCACACAAGTGATAAGAGCCTGCGGATGACAACAGACCTAGTTAAAATTCGGGGCAAGTTAAATGACTCCTGTGTGGATCGTGAGCTCCCTCACCAGGAAATGCACTTTGGAAACTCTAGAGCAAGCCATGGCTGCTGGGAGTGACCTGCACAGCCCAGGAGAAGAAGTAGGCCAGGCCAGGGATGCCCCTGCAGAACCAAGCCTGCCAGGGGGTGCCCCTGCATAGCCTGGCGGGACCAGGAGTCGCCCCTGCAGAGCCACTGGGCCAGGGAGTGCCCCTGCAGAGATGGGCCAGACCAGGGGGCAGAGATGGGCCGGGCCAGGGGGCGCCCCTGCAGAGATGGGCTGGGCCAGATCATCGTTGTGGTCGTTCCACTAACATTAGTACTTGTTAGTAGGAATCTGCCTCGTCTGAGACAGTGCCAGGTGGGAACCGCGGATGTTCTAGGTCAAAGAGGCCACCCCAGCCCCAACTCTGCAACCTAGCTTAGCCGAGTCCTCAGCCTCAGCCTTCTGAGACGTTCATCCCCTTCCAGAGAAATTGCCTTAGCAAATTCTCACCTGGCACTGTAAACATAAATAGGGACACAGGGACACAAGTGGGATTGTTTGAGTGGAACTTAAGGGGTACACAAGGCACGAGCCACCGCTTTCTTTTAAGGTTTATTTCTTGCATGAGAGAGAGAGAGAGAAAAGGAGAGGGCACTCCAGTGGAGTCCTCAGCTGGCTGGATCAGGGGCACACGTGTGCTGGCCCAGGCAGGGGTGTTGCCTGGGTACCTTCCCACGGAGTCAGCCTCACGGAGCAGGGTTCACCACTGCCCCACCTGCTCCTCTCTGCCCAGGGCTGCCCAGTGGAACCCCCACCTAACACTAACATGAGCCTCCCTGGGATTTGAGTCCCGTGGAGGTGGGTTTATGACAATCCACACTCTGCCTTTCTCTCACAGTTTCAGCAGAACTAGAAAAAAATAATTCAAGCAGAACAGTTTTTAAAGGTGCAATGCATCCCCAGTGGGAGGGACAGACAAAGAAAAACTAAAGCAAAAACATAAACAAAATCAACTAGAATAACAAGAAACCAGGATTCCGGGGGCCTTGTCATACACATGCTTCTAGTAGCTGACTATGAGTTAGAACAGCTTTGCTAGCTTTAAAGTTAGCAGAGGATAAGTCTCAGAAAAGGGCCATGGTGCTCGAGACGGAAGGAATGTGACCCTCGGCAACCTCCCTGGCCGCCCTCTCTCCTCGAACACCAAGCGTGGGCGATCCCAATGCTCACCCCCATGGCTGCTGTGGAGCCACCGGGAGGTGTGGTGATTAAAGCGCTGGGCTCCCACGGGGCCCACAGGTGCCAGTCCCAGACCCAGTGGTTTGAGAATCACACTGAGTGCACGTACATGCGTGCCCAAAATCCAGAGAGGAGACAGGAGAAGGGGCTGGGGTGTGGCCACCCCCCTCAGGGGGTAACTTCTCATTTTCTCTCTCTCTGGTGAGCTCACATGCCCCATGGCAAAAAAAAAAAAAAAAAACAAAAAACTTAACAGCCAAACACGCATTTACCAGAACAGTGCAGCCCTAGGTAATGCCCAGTAGATGTCAGCCCCTGCCTCCCCAAGTGACACTGGGACAGAAGGGGCCTGAGAAGTGGCTTGGCTTCTTGGGGCCAGACGGTGGCCCAGCAGCGACATGCGGCACTCGAGAGGCTTAGGGGCTGTGCCGTGTGGGATGGTTCTGGGTTCCCACAGGGACTGCCTGAGTATGCCCAGCACATGTGTGCCCAGATCCAGGGCTGGCTGAGGCCGGGTGGGCTGCAGCCCCAACTCTTTCCTGGGGCGCTGTCTCTCTGTCTCTGTCTCTATTTCTCTCAGTCAATGAAAAAAGCAATAAAAATCAGGTAAATATAACAAATCAAATCTCTGCTACATTAGTGTCCTGTGTGTACTCCTGAAACTCCCTTTCCTGTCCCGAAGTAGTGAGACCTGGTAACTAATCACCTTCACTCTGGCAGGCAGGGCTTGAAAACCGACACAGGTTCCGACTAGGGGAAAAGGATAAAATATGCAATTATATATATTTTCTAAAATAAGTATTTACTGAATTTTATTATTATTATTTGCTATAGGGTGCATGCAATTACCAGAGAGAGAGAGAGAGAGAGAAAGCTGCCAGGTCCAGGACTCAAACCATGGTCGGCCATGTGGGAGTCCCAACACCTTAACCACCACGCCACCTGCTGGCCCCAACAGTGAATATTTTTGATGCCATTTATTTTTACCTTTTTACTAGATTTTATTTCCTTATACTTATTTTCCCTTTCCTATTCTTTTCTCTCTTTTCCCCCATTTGCTGTCTCGTTTTATATTACATATTTCTGTAACCTGCCTTAACATCATTAGGAAATAAAACTGATTAAAAGTAAGACGACCGGAAATCAGTCTCTAAATGCCTCTCGTGGAGCGTGGCTGCACAATTCTCTGTCCACAGAATGATGAACTGGAAACAGCAAGTCCACGGAAATCAGAACAGAGAGGGAAGCAGAACGTGGGGCTTACAGGAGTGGCAGGTGGTCCCCGTGTAGCCTGTGTGCGCGCAGTTGCAGGAGAAGGTGTCCCAGGACTGGGAGCACTCCGCTCCGTGTTCGCAGTAGCTGGGCAGACACCTACAGGGAGACAGACAGACACAGGCCGTTTTTTGCGTTCGGTCCCATCCTGTACCAGCGTTACAGAGGCGGAGGGCTCAAGGGCAGGAACTCACTCAGTCCCCACGCTGCGCAGTGCTGCACCATCGGCAAACCAGTCTGCTGGAAGCTACCAACTGTCACTACTTTGACACTTCATTTGTAACACTTCTGTTGTATCAGAAGATTTGCTTGCTTTTTCACAAACAAGATTAATTGCATGCACGACCAGAGACATAAATTGCCTGCAAAGGCCAGAGACGGCCAACACTTCTCCTCCCTGCCTCCCACCCCTGCAACGTGATGCGGCACCTCCTCCCACGGAGCACACAGCCTGGCCCCCTCGCGTCCAGGTTGGGTAAGTGACCTGCTCTGACGAACGGTACATTGGGATGGTGACAACAAAAGACGCAGTTACCAGACACAAAAAGGACAGTGTGTTTTATAAACCTCGATGTGGTCTGGGAACGTACGCAGAGCCAAGCTGCGCCGCCTGAAAGCACACCAACCTGCTACAGCCGGGCCTTCCTAGTCCGCCGCCCTCTCAGACCCTGCCAGGGTCTTAGTGCAAAAAAATGTGCTTTTAGTGCAGAGAAGTGCAGCCCTGTCCACACTAGGACGGTTTGCAAGATCATGGTTTATTTTATTCTCTTGTCACTGCAACTCATCGTTCCAAGAGTTTCCACACAACTGCTGATACACTGAAATGTATCACTTCATAATACTTGGGGGAAACAGAAAGATGTAATTAACCATGTACTGTTTTCCTTTAGTAATGATTCAGCAGGTGAGTGAGGGAGGAGAGAGGGGGTACCCACCGGTTGGCCACACCCAATCTCTGCCTTCCAGCCCTCCAGCCTCCTCTCACGGCCGACATACACGCACCAGGCTCTGTGCTCAGCAGAGCAGTGGGGTGAAGCAGTGCAGGGGACAGGCAGCCCAGGTCCCTCCAGCCTCCCCGGGAGCTCCCTGGCGTGCACATTCAGGAGGGAAGCACAGCCACGAGGAGGAGGACAGGGAGCAGCGGGCTGCCTCACTCTCCCTAGAACACCGGCAACTCTCCCAGCCAGTGAGACTCCTGCAGTTGGAATCAAAGAACTATCTTTGGTCTTTTTTTGAAGAAAAGATGAAAAAACTCAGCTGTCAATCAGAATTAGAAACATTCAAACTTAATTCTACTTACAATAAAGGAAATTCATAACCTACTTTAAAACTACCTGAATAATGCTTACTTTTACATTTCTGACAAATTTTCGAATAGTTTGTCAATGTCAAGGTTGTGAACTTTTTTTTTTTTTGAGAGATTTTTGTTATAGGGCATGTGTCTCACCAGAAAGACAGAGAGACAGAAAGGGAGAAATCACCCCCCCCCCAGGGGGATGGCCACGCTGCAATCCCTTCTCCTCCATTCTCCTCTCGGGATCTTAGGCATGCACGCACATGCACCCAGCATGAGTTTAAGCTGCCGGGTTGGGGACTCAAACAACGGTCGACCACATGGGAGTCCAGCGACATAGCCATTACACTGCTAGTCCCAAGGTTGTGAACTTTGAAAAGGCATTAAAAATCAGTTTGTGCCAGTGGGGTTCACATGTGCATTAAATCACTTTACCAGGGGAATACAGGAGAGGACCCCATAGCGGAAGAAATGATGGAGTAAAATGTAACAGGGATAAGTAAAAAGTTGCATGTTTAGTTCCAAAATGCTTCCATAATTTGTTTGTTTATAGGACTTGCATGCTTGCCAGAGGGGAGGGGGAGAGTGAAAAATCAGCCCTGGGGTGGGGGTATGGCCACCCCACCGTGTCCTTGCCTCCGTTCTCCTCTCCAGATTTTGGGCACTCGCTCACACACACCTGCTCTGATCTCAAGTCACTGGGCCCAGGACTCAGATCGGGCAACGACCGTGGGGACCCAGGGCCTTCACCGCCATGCCGCTCGCGAGCCTTCCAGCTCTACTCTGTTTGGGTGCTCCCTCGGTGCAGGCACCTGCTGCCTCATACAAAGGCTAAACCAACACCGAGCTCCCGCTGTTCCTGCAGAGCGCAGACCGGGCGGGAGCTCTGGCCCCTGCTGCCCTCGCCCTGGGCTCTGCCACGTGCCTGTGACCTCCTTGGGACTTGCGGCCACCTGGAAGGCCAGGGAAGTCCTGCCAGCTGGGACAGGTGATGGGCTGGGGTCCATTCCTCATGAAGTGGAGCATGACTGGTGGCAGCCCTGGCCTGGGCCCATAGGGGCAGGGGGAAGCGGTGTGGGCCCGGGGTGGGGCTCTGCGGCTGCTCTCGGTGGTGATGGAGGCCAGAGGCCCAGGGGGGCTTAGAAGAGGAGGGCCTGCGCTGGTCCTTCTAGGCCCCCACTCCAACACCCCAACTCTGCAGCTGGGTCAGAATGGTGGTCCCTGAGCAGGCTCTGAAAACAGGGCTGATGAAGGAGGGTGAGGCCCTCGCCGCAGTTCGTCAAGAATGTGGAGAAGGGCCAAGGCCTGCTGCACTGAGGCCACAGCTCAGGAGACACATGTCCGAGGTTCACCTTGGCTTCACGACTCTGCCTCTGTGAGCCGCAGGACATCTTTGAATGCACCAACTGGCCTGGCCTCGGAGCCACAGCTGTTGACAAAATGGACCACCTGGCCGGAAGCCACACGGCCAGCTGCAGGCCCAGCTCTTGCTGCCTGCAAACAGGACCAGCACGTGCATGCATGCCCAAGATCCCGACACACTGGAGGCTGGGCAAGGGGATGGCAGGGTGAGGACACCTACCACAGCCACTTCTCTCAGCTCACCCCCATCATGTTCACGTGTGCACTGTCTATCATGAATGAAAATAAAATAAAATACTCTTGCCCCTGCCCCTCCAAACGTGATTCCCCTCCACCCCCACTTGTGAGGAACACCACCCTTGCCTGCTGTCCACATGGGAGCCGGGTCAGCCTGGGCTCCTCCCCCACCGCACAGCAGCACACAGCAGCACGCCAGCTCACAACTCTGCTTGTCAGACATAACGGCTTTTAAATTACCATCACGCCCTGCTGCCTGGCTCAGGCCGCCTGCATTTCTCAGGAAGCTGCAGCGGCCTCCTGCTTAGCCTTCTGCTCTGACCACACCACCCCTTTCCCAACCTTCCGCCTGTGCTGCCCTGCTCAAACACACGAGTGACGCCCTCCAGTGACTGCCTGGGAGCTCTTGGTCAGCACCTAGCTGCCTGGGCCTGGCTGGTGCAGCCTGCTCGCTAGGCAGCTCCATCGCTCACCACCTCCTACCCCTTCTCCTCACTCTGAATTCCCACACCTGCCACCCTCACTGGGGTCAGACTCCTCCTTGCACCTTAAACCCGCTTCCTGACTTCCCGTCTCTCACTCCAGTGCAGGGGTCTCCCCATCCCTGAGCAGCCTCATCTGTCAACACACTTCAGGTGCCAACCCACATGTCCCACAGCCTCCACGACTTCCCTGCAGTCTACAGCTGAGGTCAGCTTTCTGGGCCACAGGGTCTCAGTAGTGACCACTCAGTTCTGTGGTCATTGTGTGAAACCAGATGTGACACAGGTGAAAGGACACGCCTGCCCCATGAAACCTACTCCCAGAAGCAGCCAGTGGGCCAGGCTGCCCCCCCGGAGCCTAGGCCACAGCCAGGATGGGGTCGGCTTGTGTTCTGCAGAAGCCATGCAGGTGGCCAGACTGGGGCAGGGTTTCCTTCGAAAAACAGTGGCTTCTCATTTTTTTTCTGGACACATTGGAACTCTCTAAAATTATAGTGGAGTAGATTCCACACTTTTTAGTAGATAAAAATGAGTGCTTTGTGTTAAAAATAAACATACGTTTTAGCTCAAAATCTTTGGGAATGAGATTTTTCTTAATAAGAACTTTAAATGTGTGGTAATTAATTTTCCTCTAAATTTATCATTTTCTATTCAAAAATAAAATGTACAGCGTACAGTGTCACGTCTGAGTACAGAAGACGACTGCTGGGTCAAAGGCTGTGGTGGTGGGGAAGGTGGGGCTGCGGCCCTCCCCACAGTGCACGCTTGGGGCCCAGGCCGTGGCCTCCTGCCCATGTGCTCAGGTGTCCACAGGAGCCCGAGTTTCACAGGAGTCCCATGAAATTAGAACCCCGATGTCCAAAACTCCACTGGCCTAATACACGATCCCTCCTCACTGCTAGGCCCTCCCGGCCTGTGTACCAGCAGAGCTTGCCTCGGAGCCCTGGTGTGGCTGGGGAAGGTCCCTCTTGTCCTATCGGATTTTCATAATCTGTAGTGTCCTTTCAGCCAGGAATGCTGCTGTGTCATGAATTATTACTCCCTGTGCCCGATGGATATAAGTCACCAAACCACCTGTATTTCAGTAGTAAATCTCAGCTTCCCCTGAGCAAATCTGACTTTGCTCATGGCAGGCAGACCGCGGGGGTTGTGGGGGAGGCTGGGGTCAGCACAGCTGGCCTGGCCAGGACAGGGGTGGAGCCATGTGTTTGTGTGTGGAGGAGACTCTACTGCACCATGCAGCGGCATGCAGGCAGTAGGCTTGGCTAGAAGGAAAGATGGACATTTGTTAGAGAGGAGCAGAAAATGAGGACGTGGTTTTAGACGTTTACCCATAAAACATTACAGCTGTGACTGCTGGCCTCCCAAGTGCTGTGGCTAGTTTCATACCGACGTGGGGAGCTGTCCTTAACCCCGTGTTTGCCTAAGGAAGGTAAAAGGCCTAGGCGTCGGTACAGTGGACATGCTGCTGAAAGTCCCCGAGGTGTGACACAGCAATCTGCCCCGTGGGTGACACTTACATACACACCTGTTTACATACATGGACCCACTCGTGTGTGCACACATCAGTGTGTGGCGTGCACGTCCTTATTTTGACTAAAAGACTTACACGTTGAAGAGGCCACATCGATTCTTCACAGACAGCTACTGTAATTACATCGCACGTGGTGAAAGAATCGAGGCACTAAAACGCGTTCTGAGAACTTCATGACTGTTCAGGGGACCCGGGGTGGCTGGTGAACTCAGACTCCTGGTGGGGGCTGCGCCCCACCTCTGAGCCAACCGCTCCACCCTCCTCGAGGACCAGCTGCAGTTCTGAATTTCAGGTGATGTTTTCTATGCCAAAGAGTGAACCACCTGAGGTTTCTGACTAAATTCTTAGAACCTCTGTTTCCCTCTCAAATGAATATAAGGTGAGTATGTGAACATGAACACTCGCATTAAATAAAGTTCTATGAGTCAATATTTCATGCCCTGGGGATTAAGGTCTTTTTCCACATTGCTAAACTGTATTTATACCTAAAGTATACTGGTTATGACATGAAATTTCTACTGGGTTAAATTCAGAGTAGACTTAGCCACAGATTCCACCATGCGTGGCCTTTCAAGAGTTCCTCATGCACAGATGTGTGAGGCTCTACAGAATGTGTTCATTTTCTAACACAGACGTCTCACACGCATGTGGCACTAAGCTGGACAGACCCTGCACAGAACAAACCTACGTGCGCACGCCACCTTTCAGCCCAGGTGACTTAAGAGGCATCGTGACTAATGAGACAGCTTGCACTGCTTACACACTTTAACGTGCAGTAGTGTTCAGACGCTGCTCATCTTCCCCAGCGAAGCAGCTCGGAACCACGCAGCTGGGCTCTCTCCAGTCCTAACTGTACGCAACAGAAATCCCCCAAGTCTCGGCCTTTCTCAAGAAAAGAGTTACTTTCCATTTGCTCTATAGAAAAGGAAGCTGGCCACACGGGGCTTTGATTTCCTGGCTCCCAATGATACATCTTCTTTTCTGATATTCTGATCTGTTTTGTGCAATACTAGTTTTCAAAACACAGCTCTCCTTGTCGACAGTTACACTCACCCATAATTACAGTGGCATCACTAGTATTCTGTAAGAATGAAATAGCCTGGAGGGTGACGAGGAAAATGCAAGAGACCATGTCCCCCAAGAAAACCCTACCATTTGAAAGGAGCAATTATGTAAAGATGTCTGTTTCTTATTTTTGATAAAAATGTGTTTTGCCCCTTTAAAATAGTTATTGGGAACATAGAGAGGAGAAGGTGATCTCTTCCAGCCAGTCGTCTGGTTTTAATCTACCGAGAAGCTGAAAGCAGGCATGGTAAAATGACCAGGGATGGCCCTGACCTGTCTGTGAGGCCACAGGAGTCTATCTGGAGGTCCTGGAAACTCCCCAGCGCCCCCTGCTGCACTGAGATGGGATCCACCGCTGTGTCACCAATGGAGAGGAGCCTCAGGCAGCCCTGGAACCCGGGCAGGGAGCTTCCACACCCAGGGCCAGAGCTGTTGTCCGGACAGCCTGGAGACAGAAACACACACGGGAGAAAACGCACAGTTAGGACAAAACCGCTGCACAGTACTTACCGATGAAAGACTGTCGCCCCAGGGAGGAAAGCAGTGTGGAGTGGACTGTGGAATACCAGGTCCACTCCGGTTTTAAAGACCCAAGTAAGGCATGCATCGGAGACTTTGGCTATACCCACGGCCGAGTCAACAAACCCGAGAAGGGTTAGACTTGCAGTGTGACCCACCCTTCCTCTGGCCCAGGGTTCTCTAGGTCATGATGTCCACCATGAAGTGTGGCCAGTCAGGTCAATGTCTATTTAAACTCTTAACAAGCAGCTTGTTAACGTCCCCTCTGCTTGTCCTTGTCTTTGTTATATAAGCCAGCCTCCCTGGCAACCATCTCGTTCAGATGAGCACATTCCTGGGCAACCAGAGGTCAGCGTCACCTGGCCGAATGGCCCAAAACCCTGGCTCAAAGAAACCCATGATTTCACTTTTTACCTCAGCCCTTCTAATAGGCTGGCACTCCTCTGTCCATAGACACTCAAAGATTAGACTTCCCTACTCCCTGGGGAGGGCGGCGCGACTCCTGAGTGGGTGCGGTGGAGAGGCAACAAGAGCAGAAGCTGTTAGTATCTGTAGAGCAGCTTCCAGAAAGAAGAGAAGAAGGAAAGGCGTGAAATTCTGCAAGGAGAGCTGCTGCATAGTTTATTTACGTGAGACAATACAAGAATCACTCCTTTTTGCAGGTGGCTAGACTAGAAAAACTGAAAGGTATGTGAGAGTAGAATCAGGAAAAAAAAATACAGGTATATTAGGATTTGCTAAGTTTGAATTTTTAAAAAATAACTGAAAACTGAAAACTGACCAGGATGCCCGCACTCATCTTAAAATTGTGTTAAATATCTCCTCCGTATGTGTGAAGATGTGTGTGCACACACAGGCACATTTAAAACAATTCTGGATAATAATTGCTCTAAGAAAGCTAGGAACAATCTATGTTGACTTTTTTATTTTTTTGAATCAGGGATTTTAGTCAAGTATCTTTGAACATTATTTTCTAACGCTAATACTCACCAAAAAAAAATGACAGAATATCTCACAATAAAACATTGCAAATGGAGAAAAAAATAGCATCTAGAATATTCCATGGGAAAATGGCACTCAAGAGTCAAATACTACAAGCCTTGCTGTAGCCATTAACTGACTTGCTGGAAGCCACACAGCCCACAGCTCCCACACGTAGAGGTTTATTTGATGACCTGGGCTTCTCAAGAAGACTGTGTTCTTATAGGAACTGTGAGCAAGGATGCGACTTTGAAATAGAAATCAAAGCCAGACTGGTCTGGAAACAAATACGTGGTACGCCGTGTGGAGCCCGCAGGACTCACATACTCCCCTGGCCTCTGCTGATTACCCCCACTAACGGGGCTCTTGGACTTGGCACTGCGTGGTCAGCATGCAGAGGAGGACGTGGGAGCAACAGAACAAGGATGCAATGTTGCCAAGTGCTTTCAAATGAAGGAACTACTTGGGGGGTACAGGGCCCAGTCCCCAGTACCTACCCTTTCAGGACCAAGGCAGGCTGCCCCAGGAGCTGTCCCGGCTGGGGAGAGGTGACTCTCAGTCCTGGCCCTCCCAGGTGAGCCAGCATCCAGTGGCACATGGAGGGCACGGAACCCTGGATCCCTCTGCTTGACGGGAGCACCCCTCAAGGGCGTCCCTGCTCAGAGGCTTCTGTGGCTTCTCCTGAGGCTTGAACCCCCCCCCAGCAGCCTACGCAGCCACGGTAAGATCCCATGGCGTGCATTTTACTGGGGACTTGAGTTTTATACGCAAATATGAAAGAGGTGCAGCACTGTAAATAATGAATGTTGTTTTAATTCAGAAAAAATTGTGAAGTAAATTTTATATGAAGCATTATTTTATTTGTCTGATAAAATTATGCTTTATATAAATCACTTCCAAAAAAGTATTTTCTTTTGGGACCAGCAGTGGTGTAATGGCTATGTTGCTGAACTCCCATGTAGGCGACAATGGTTTGAGTCCATGTTGCTGGACTCCCACGTAGTCGACCGTAGCTTGAGTCCAGGACCCTGTGGCTTAAACTCACGCCAGGTGCATGTGCGTGCATGCCCAAGATCTCGAGGAGAATGCAAGAGAAGGGACTGAGGCATGGCCATGCCCCCTGGGGGTGATAGTTAAAAAAAACAAACAAAAAAAAAAACCCTCTCCAAGACCTCTCCATTTCCTTTTAACATGGTAGATACAGTGTCTTAGTTACTCATTTTATTTTGCTTTATATTTTCCAGTCATTTAATAAAGAATTCTTATGATGAAAATTAGAGCTTCCTTTTACATTACTTGGTAAGTTTATTTTATAAGGTTCTTATTATTTTCAATTTTTTAAGAGATTTTTGCCATAGGGCACATACACTCACCAGAGAGACAGAAAGTGAGAAATCATCCCCTATGGAGGACGGCCACACTGCAATCCCTTCTCCTCCATTCTCCTCTCAGGATTTTGGACATGCATGCATACGTGCCTGGTGTGAGTTTTAAGCCAAGGACTCTAATCGGTTGACTACATGGGAGTCCAGCAATGTAACCATTACGCCATCTGCTGGTCCCAAGGTTCTTATTTTTTAAATCGAATTGAATAATTGTGTAAAATAAAAATTTTATTCTTCATTCTTTTTTTTGCCCTTTATTGTCAAATCACTAGTAGATTTTTAATCAACAGGAAGTGAAAAATCCAACCTCTTATTCCTGAACCATGTATGCTAGCTTACTACCCAAGATTTTTCATAAAACACAAATATAATTTATTTTTACTTTCCTTCAGTGGCTGAGGCTTTAATGTTTGCATTCCTAGCAAATGTAATTCAAAACAAGTCAAGGGTTTAAACTCTTGTTGGGTACAATGAAACCTTATAAATTAACCTCAAAGAGACTTGAACATTTCAGTTAATGTTGCATCATAAAGAACGGTCTAAGCCCACAGCGTTCCCTTTATCGTGTCCTACTTTATGTGACTGCACACAGTGTAACTCGCGAAAGTATTGCTGAAGAGTTGGTGTATTTGGAAGAAAACTGGCACACCTGCACAGGTGAGACCTGCAGCATACTGAGGACATCAGGGTAAGGAAAGGGGAACATACGTCCTTAAGTATGTTTGCGGAATTACGGGTGTTTTCTTTCTACCTATTTCATTTTCCCCCGAATCACAGGCCTCCAGCTATTTCAAAATAAAATAAAATATGGTGGGAACCAGCAGTTAGCGTAATGGCTATGTCGCTGGACTCCCACGTAGTCGACCGCGGTTCGTGTCCCGGACCTGGTGGCTTAAAACTCATGCCGGGCGCATGTGCGTGCGTGCCCAAGATCCCAAGAGGAGAATGGAGGAGAAGGGATTGCGGTGTGACCATCCCCCCTGGGGGGTGATTTCTCGCTTTCTCTCTCTCTTTCTGGTGAGCGCACATGCCCTCTAGCAAAAAAAGCCTCTCCAAAATAAATAAATAAATAAATAATAAAATATGTAACTATTTCTTTTTGTTTTCTTTCTAGGTTTCTGTCATAGGGCATATGCACTCACTGGAGAAGAGAGAGAAACCGAGATACAGAGAGAGGGAAAGTAACAAATCACCCCTGGGGGCTGGCCATGCCACAGCCTCCTCTCCTCCATTCTCCTCTTGCAATTTTGGGCACATACGCACACATGCCTAGTGTGATTTTCAGCTACCAGGTCCAGGACTTCCATGGCCAGCCATGTGGGAGTCCAGCGCCTTAACCACCGTGCAACCTGTTGGCCCTGTAACTATTTCTTTTAGGAGCAAAACTAAACCAAACCTAGTCATTAGGAAAACGTCCTGAAGGTAGGACATTAAGGAAAAGGCCACCAAGGGCTTCCCTCCCCTAGTGATGAGAGGGAGATGGGAGAGGAGGACATGCCAGGACCTGGGCAGGGGCAGCCATGTGCAAGACTGGCCAGAAGCCCTGAGGGCTAGGCGGCAGAGGTTCACCCATCATCCACCTCATTTGAGACGGAAGTCCACGTGGACAGCTAGTGCTTATTGGGAACTAATGAGGCGTATCACTGCCACGGAGGGAGGAAGCAAGGTCAAGGACCTCCGAGGATGGCCAAGAAACGGCCACTTAATGTCACTGTACAGATGGGTCAGCAGGGTGACCAAGGGTTCTCTGGTCTGCTGACGTGTCACACAGGCGCTCTGTGGGGCCGTGACTCAGTGTCCCCACTCTGCGGTGCATGGGTGTGCCTAAGTAGTAGTAGGATTCCATGAGAGGGGATTAGAAGAGCTTAGCTTTCAGCCCCCTCACTGGCAAGCACAACACCACGGCAACATGTCGTTGGAAGGGCACGTGATAAGAAAAGCTGACACGGAGAATCAGGGGTATCTAAAGCACAGAGTTCTAATGTGAACTATAAAATACACGGCTGGGCCAGCAGGGGGCGTGGAGGTTAAGGCACTGGATCCCACTTGGCCAACTCCACAGTTCTAGTCCTGTTCTGGTCCTTGAAAAGCATGCTGGGCATATATGTGTACACACCCCAAATTCCGGGGAAAACACAGAAGGGACTGTGATGTGGCCATCCCCCCGCCGGGGGGTGCTAACTTTCCCTCTCTGTTTCTCTCTACTCTACAGCAAACTAAAAAACAGTAACAAAAAACAAAACAGGCTGCTATTTTGTAAGTGGGCCCCACTCAGGGGGAGAAAGCCAGCCACACTCTGAGACTGTTAGTTCAAAATATGACAGAAATGCAGTAACTCCTCCGTATGACCAGACGGCCCTGGCCATGCCTGCTGCCCTGTCCTGTCATCACCCCTCTCGTTCTCCACAGTGTCCTGGTTTGGATAATAAATTCCCAGAGACTCCCACTGAGAGCGCAGCACACACGTCTGCTTCTGTGGGGGTGTGCTGCCCTAGCATCTGAGTGCACGGTGACAGGGTAATCAGGAACACAGAGAAGGAGCACGGGTCACAGCACGTCC